CACGCCTCGCTCGAGGCCCGCCGCGATTGGCTGCGTCCTAGCGGCCCCGCCCACGGCCGCGCTCCCCCGAGTGCCAGGATTGGCTCTGTCCCAGCCATCTTTCGCCATTGGCTCCGGCCCGCCGCCGTCCAGTCCCCACCTTAGCATCGCCGGAAGCGACGGCGCTCAGACTACTTCCTGTTTACGGATCTGGAGGGGGCGGGACCGAGGCCGGTTGCCGGGGAGATGCGGGAGGCAGGGCGGAAGGGGCGGAGCCCCGCGCGGACCCGGTTTCCCGGGGGGCGGCGGCCGGCCTGCACCGGGAGCGACGCCCCTCGGCCTCCGCAGCGCAGACTTGGATGTCCGCTGGGGGCCCGGAGCCGTGCGGACGGCGGCGTCCTGCGGGGCGCACGGCCGCCTTTGGAGGCAGAGAAGGGAGCCCGAGGCGCAGGACGGATGCGGGCCGAGGGCGAGCACGGCCGCTCGCGTGCGCGGCCCGGCCTGGGTCCCGGCCCAGCTCCGTGAAGGCCGCCGGCGAGCGGGCCCGCGATGCAGGCCTGCCAGCCTAGCCGCTCCGGAGGCTGAGCCCCCAGGAGCGCGGTTCGGAGCCAGCCCGCAGCCAAGGCCGTGGGACCCCCATCTCCAGAGACCCACACAAGGCTGCAGCGGAGCCGTGCCCAGTGACAGAGCTAAGGGGACAGCTCATAGGCACTGCGTTCACACCCCAATACTGCGAGGGGGGAGAAGGGGAGAGACAGAGACAGACAGAGAGCTCGAAAGCTGCTGGCCCCAGTGCTGTCCTCCTTTGATCTACTGCCCCTGGGCCTGCATTGATGACAGTCTACTGTCGCTTCTGACTCCCTCTACCCCATCATGCCCCCTCGTATGCCTCCATGTCCCTCAGGCTTTCTAGAAACTTAGTCTCCCAGGAGACATCTTGTCATTCACCAGGGCTCACTAGATGCTATGTTCTCGGCTTTACCCAGTCGTCCTGTTCTGTGTGCACGCGCGTGAGTGTGTGCGTATGAAGGCGCATGCAGAATATTTGCTGGAGGGCTGGAACTGGAGATCCTGTAGAGGGGAGAGTAGAGACGTTCTGAGGGGTGGCAAACACGGAGGTGTGAGCCTGGGCCAATTCCAGGAGGCTGGCCTGAATGTCTGTGAGGGCAGATTCCATGCGGGCGCCCGAGCCCTCTGGGCATATGACCTGAACACCCATAAATCAGAGCAGCGACAAAGCGGGGACAGGTGACTTAGTGGATGAGACATGAACCCAGCATTCTGTGTGTGTCCTCAGCCACCCAGCAAAGCACCCCATGCTCTCTGTTTAAAACAGAAACTTTCTCACGCTTTCCAAGGCCCAAAGTTCAGAAGCAAGGGGTGGCCAGGGCCTCACAACCTCGGGAACTCTTGGGGATTTCTGGTACTGGCCTGTGGCTGCCTCTCCTGTCTCCCTTAGAGCCCATCTTCAGGGGATCAGCCTTGAAGACTCTTTTTCCAAATCAAGTCACCGCAGCACTGGGGGAGTCAGAGCTTGAATGTACCATCTTGGGAGGGGGACGCAACTCAGCCAGAACAAATGGGTCATTGAAAAGTTTCGGAGACTGTTTCGTGCAGGGAGCGAGTGGGGTTCCAGAGCCTCTCGTGGCTCCGTTTAGAGGCGGTTCCCACATTGGCCAGCAGGGGGCAGCATGCCCTCTGGGCCCACAGAGTGTGTTAAGCCCTAGATGGATGGAGTGGTTATCTTCCCCCAGAAGCCTGGAAACTTCCGCTGGGAAGAGTGGATTCTTAGTTTCCTGATGTTGTGACTAAGCAGTTCACAAGATCAATGGAAACCACTTTTCTTGGCTTCTGTTTTTCTGGGGTTTGGACTCGGGGCCTCACCCATACCACACCAGTACTCTTCCACTGAGCCATGCTTCCCGCCCGAGTTCTAGCTTTGAGGCCTGTCTGAGGGACACAGAGGGACCCAAGGTGCACTTCAGAGCTGCCAGCGTCTCCTCTCGGAACCAGGCACCACGCTGCCCGTGCAGGGCTCTGTGACAAGCTCCTGGAGGAGGTGCTGCACTTTGGACTGTGCTGTGGAGATGCTGTTTGACCAGAGTTCAGCTGTGTGGCAGCCCTGAGCTCCTGACCTCTCAATGATGCAATGTGGATCCATGAGAGAAGTAGAAAACCAAATCTCCACCTGGGATGGAAGGTCTGAGAGCCAGGCAGACCAGTGCTCCCCACTCCCAGAGGCATCTCCTCTCTGGGCTGGACAGGTGCTGACTGCCTCCTCTGTGGGTATCCGCTTCCATCCACTGCTGTACAGAGGCCCTCCATCTGATGACTGAGCCCAGAGACATACATCACGTAGGGCCTGCACAGAGCTGGCTCTTCCTCGGGCTGCCAGGCCTGTGGGCTCCAGTCTCTCCAGCTTGTGGCTCTCAGTCCTTCCTGGTGCAGTGGCCCTGGCTCCCCAGCTGCTTTTCCTCAGAGTCTGGCTCCACAGCTGCCTGCCTTCTCCCTTGTCATTGGACTTAGGGCCCACTCAGATGACCTGGCATGGCCTCATCCTGAAGTCCCCACATCCCTGAGACCCTTCTGTGTTTGTGAAAGTGAGGCCCTGGGGCTGTCCCTTCAATCTGGACAGGGCTGTCTCCTCAGTGCCCCGAGTGGGTGCTTTGCCCCCACTGGAGACATTCGCCCTTCCCAGACCCCCCCCTCCAGCAGCTCCCAGGGTAAAGGAGGAGAACGGGGAGATGGGGTGGCTGTGTCAGGGTGCAGAACGTGTCCATACGCTCAGATACCACATGGCCATTGGACGGTAGCGGTGCTCGGAGACCTGAAGCCCCACAGGCCAGCTGTTCAAGCACTGAGCAGGGGTCAGCTTCGAGGCGGCCACGCTACTTCCATTTTACAAATGAGGACAGGAAGGACCAGGAATAGAGTGACGGGTCCAGGCGAGGAGTCCCAGGCTGCGCACCAGAATCCTGTGACTTGTCATCATGCTGGCCAGTGTACGTCAACACGTGTGTGTGTGTGTGTGTGTGTGTGTGTATGCTGGTCCTGGCTTGAACTTGGGGCCTGGGCACTGTTACTGAGTTTCTTTTTTTTTAATTTTTCTCAAGGCTAGCGGGCCACAGCTCCACTTCTGGCTTTGGGGTGGTTAATAGGAGATAAGAGTCTCACAGACTTTTCCTGCTTGGACTAGCTTCAAATCACTGTCTTCAGATCTCAGCCTCCCGAGTAGGACTGCAGCTGTGAGCCACTGGCATCTGCTTACCCTGCCAGTGCCTGGCTCATTTTGGTTTTTCATCTGTGGTGGTTCAGAGGTCTAGAAATGAACTCGAAAGGGCAACAAGCATGGCTGACATGGCAGAGTGCTTGCCCAGCAAGCCCAGAGGCCCTGAGTTCAAATCTTAGCACCACATCCTGAGGAAAAGAAGGAAAGAAACTCGGAAATCAACCAGCAAGCTTCTAGGGCAGAGCTTCAGACACATGCCTCTCTCTCTAGAGAATATTCCAGATTTGTGTGTGTGCACGCCAATTCTGGAGCTTGAGCTCAGGGTCTGGGTGCTGTCTCTAAGCTTTTCCTGCTCAGGACTATCACTCTACCCCCTGGAACCATAGCTTCATTTCTGGCTTTTTTGCTGGTTGGTTGGAGGTGAGAGTCCCATGTACTCTCCTGCCAGGTTGGGTTTGAACCTGGATCCTCAGATGTCGGCCTCCCCTGGCACCCAGCTGTCCCCAATTCTTGCGGGGATGATGTTGGGCTCCCGGTCATCACTGGCATGCGGAAAGTCCAGTGACCTTGAAGGCGCTGTGGACACGTGTGTCTGAGGGCCTGCAGATGCCACTGGCGTCCACCACGCTGTCTCCCAGCCATCAGGAGTGCCTAGAACTGCTCAGACAGTGCAGTGCGCTGGGGCCGGCAGACCCCTGGGATCTGGGCAGCTAGAAAGGAGGTTTCGCCTTCCTCCTCGTGGGAGCCTCTCCGTTTCGGGCAGGCTTCGGGCAGGTTGCAGGACGGCGGCCCGTGGTGGCCCTGGGAGAGGACGGCAGCCATCTGCTTTGGAAATGAGCTCAGCGTTTGGGTCCCCTGCTCTCCCCTCTCCATGCGTGCTGTTTTTCTTCGGGCTAAAGATTATTTTTATTATTTCCAACAGAGACAGACACAAACATTGCCAAGTGCTTTTCAGGAAGGCTACAATGATTGTTGGCCACTTGTAAATATAGGACGCTGTCCACACCTCATGTCTGTCTGAGGGAGTCTTTAAACCAAACTGGGGTCACCCAGCACTGGAGAGTGGTGCCATCCACCAGACCTGAGGCGCGGCGGTGGGCCGGGGTGCAGAGGGAAGGCCGAGCTCCCGGTCGGGAGGCGGTATGCGGTCCATGAGCTGCGGTACTCAGCGCTCACAGCCATCTTCAGGATGCCACACGCTCAGGGACCAGACACCCCACAAGCACTTAGGAGTGCCACAGACAAGTCTGTATCCTGTAAAAGAATGGCACAAACAGATCCTAAGGAGGAGTCTGGACATTTGTCTCCAGTTTCAAGGAAGACCTTTGAATGTCAGGTGCCAGTGGCACTGTGGCTCAAGTGGTAGAGCACTAGCCTTGCATGAACGAGGCCCTGGGTTCGATTCCTCAGCACCACATAAGCAAAAAGAAAAAAGCCGGAAGTGGTGCTGTGGCTCAAGTGGTAGAGCACTAGCCTTGAGCTGAAGAGCTGAGGGACAGCGCCAAAACCCAGAGTTCAAACCCAACTGACAAAAAGCAGGCTGGCTGGCAGGCAGGCTGGCAGGCCTTTGTGAAAGGAACTTAGGGCAGAGTCCAGGTTTGAGGTGGCCCTCCCACATCCATCTGGGAGGCCAGCTGAAGACGAGAACCAGTGGGCTTCAGCACCTCTAACTGCCACAAGGGGGCAGTGTCCTCACAGGGTCTGCACAGGCCTCCCCTTCTAGTTGAGACCTGCCTTCCCATAGTTCTGAAAGAATGTACCTATTTAAGGCGATCCAACTAAATTACAATCAAGCTAAAGAACAACGAACGAGAAACACCAAAATAATTCAGAGGGACTGGTGGGCCTTGTACAGCCAGACGCTGCCCAGGAGAATCCCAGGGGTGAGCACTGCTTCTCACCCCGGGACACAGGACAAGTACGGCAGCGATTTGGGGCTGGGGGTGAGAGTGGGTCCAAATACCCAAAAGCCTTTCTGCAGCTTGTCATTGGAGAAGCTGTTTCCTGACCTCGGCGGCCTCGGTACCTGGACACCGGGTGAGCCGGTCATCTTCTCCCTTGCAGCAGACTCAGGGCAAACTCTGTGCGGTAACTGCTAACTACGTGCAGTATAACAGCTGGGGGCCTGGCTCAGCTTGGTGGAGCCCTGCCTAGCAAGTGCTGCGCCCTGAGTTCCCACTTCAGCAATCCCCTCACACACCTTCCTCCAAAAAGCGATGCAAAGCATATGATCTGGGTCCTGTGCTTATTTTCAAGACCAAAACTCGGACTTGCAGAGTTGGGTGACACCACTGGCAACATCAAAGCCATCATTCCACTGGGGAAAACGGCAGTAGGGATTACGCCCCACAAAGTGTTGTTTTCTTATGAAAATGGACCAGTACAGAAAGCATTTCCTGTTCACCTTAATTGCTAGAAAACAAAACCTGTTTATAGTGCATTAAATGTGTGTGAGTGTATTAAACACCTATGGACAGAGTAGTAAATTAGGTACCCTCTGTATTTGGTTGCCCTGTCAGGAAGAGGCAGTTTGCTGCTTAGCTATGGCTCCATCCCTCCTGTGCCAGGCTGGGCAGGACTCTGGGGGGAGGGGAGACAGGGAAGGGCAGTCCCTGGGGTCTTCAGGCCCATCACCGCCTATCAGACAGACACCCTGCCAGACAGGGTGTGAGGCTTACCCGCTTTACCTGCGCTGGGGTTGAGAGCGCTGTCTGAGAATGGTGGTGGATTTCTTCTACCTTGAATAACGTGGGGGAAAGACGTGGCCTGTGCCCTGGGAAGGTGGCGTGGCAGGTGTCCTCACCACAGGGACTTCCCAGGACCACACCGGTCTGTGCCCCTGACACCTGCCCGGGGCCTGGCAGCGGAACTTGGTGCCTGGTCAGAGGCAGAATCACAAGGGGGCCCAGAGAGCAAAGCTTTGCTCAGAGTCCTCTTCAAATGGGAGGGCCAGGGGACCCAGAAATGCATACGTGATTTGCTCATTTTTCAGCAAAGTAGCTTCTTTTTGTGTTGCTTTTCTTCAAGAGGACCCTCGAACGTTACATTTCAGGGCACACCAAACCCGGGTCCTCCCTTGCCCAGAGATTCCAATTTATCTGTCGGCATTCTTTCCTTCATCCTCAGATAAGCTGGAAGAATTTCTGAGACTGAGTCACCCTCCCATCCCTGCCCCGGGAGGGAACTCGGCCAAGGGGCACCTTCCACGCACTTCCACGGCATCCACGCACTTCCACACACATGCTGACACACCAGCGGATGGTGCCCAGCTGACTCCAGGAGGAGGTGGTGAGCCGGTGGTAGGTTGGTGAGATGCAAACTTGTATCTATACCTTCTGGGCGGGGCCCAGGGCTGAAGCCGGGCACTACGGGTATTTTCTTCAGACCCTCAGACAGGCATGGGGGGAAACCAATCCCAAGGCCAGATTTGGGGCAGCCTTTCTGTAAAGACGCCAGCGAGGAATAAGCAGAGGGTGAGGTTGAGGGCAGTGCTGGGCAGACTGGGGTCCTGTCCGTTTGGAGTGCTGCCCCGCGTTTGGGATCGTCCTCAGCAGTGAACTCTCTGGAATAGTTCTGTGCCCTTCACTGTGTTTCTTTGACTTATGGTGCAGGGCAGGGGCTGCCCAAGGCCGGACCCCCGTGTTTAGCTCCTAGGTCTGCAGTCCACTGGCGCTGTTTCCTCTCCTGGCCCAGAGTACCCTGCCTCTACCGCAGAAATAACAGCCCCACGTTCCCTGGTCCCCATGAACAGGACAGTGGGGGAAGGGGGCACGGTTGTGGCTCCCTCTGCCTCTCAGCCCTCCATGGAGGAGATCAGGGGTTCTGGAGTCTTCAGTGGTGGTGAGGGAAGGGCAGGGGAGATGGCCTGCCATCAAAAAGCACCTCTGGGTGGGGGGAGGGAGAGGGGGGGCTGGCTCCAGCGGGCATCCAGGCTGTACCTCCCAGCGCCTTCAAAAAGCGCCCCCGGGGCCCAGTCTCCAGACCCAGTGTCCAGCTCCGGGTCGGCCCGGCTCTCACCCGGAGGTGAGGTTTCAGGGGGGGAGGATGGCTTGACTCCGGCCCCACAGCCCCCCAACGCCGAGGCCGCCGTCTCAGAAATGGGGATGGAAAGGCCGGGAGAGGAAGCTGTGGCCAGGGAGGGGGGAGTGCCAGGCCAGGGTGGGCGGAGTGTCCACGTGGTCCCATTGTCCCCCCACCTGCGACCTGGGAAGGCAGAGAGGCTGAAGTCTGCGTCGAGGGTGCCGGGTCTGGGGGAGGGTGAGGAGAGCCGTCGCCCCCTCCCCGGGCCGGGTCACTCAACGGGCCGGGATCCGGAGCTTGAGATACGTGCGCGCGCGAGGCCGGAGGTGGGGCCAGGAGCATGGAGGAGGGGCAGGCCTGGAATCGGACCCCGGGCTGGGGTGGGGGGTCTGGGCGGGGC